TTAAATGCTTAAACCGTTTTCATGTAAAATAAATGATTGATTAATTTCTATCGAGTTTTATCATGTCTTATATATAACTTTATAGTGTATTAATATTTCTCGTGTTTTTTAATCAAACGATGAACTCTTATGTTAAGAATAAAACTCTTTTTCAGATTTTGTTTTATTTAAAGTATTATATAATTTATTTGAATATTAATTGAAAAATGTTTTACTCGTAATAACATAGGAGTAACTTATATATTTATAATATCAGATAATTTACGAAAATGCTTTACATTAAGACATACACTAATACATACATTGATACATTAACTGCTAAATAAATTGAATATTTTCTAGTGTATATACATTATAAATGAAAAACTTTTGGTACACTTAACTCTAATCCCGTTTCCCTTTAAAAACATTTTCGTTTTGATAGTTATTGTCTTTTTCTTATTTTAAAAGAAATGATTTGTTTTTGTGTCCTATTATATAATACATTAAAGTGTGTGTGTGTTTCCTATGTACTAGTCTATAGTATATAAAACTTTACTATACTTTAGTACAAAATCTGAGCAAAAAATCTTATTTCCTTTCATTCAAATCGCTAGACATTACACAAAATGGTTATAAATATACAGCGATTTTAATGAACGTCTCTATCAGATGAGAGACGGTATCCTAGACTTGAATTTCATTCATTCAAAACACTTTCCATTTAAAGTCCATATTATTATCTACGAGCGGAATATGCCGTAAATAATTTGAGTCTTATTTTTTTCTCTGTGGCTATAATACCATTGATTTTGATTGTCAGATATCAAAGTGAATGTTACGTATAGATAGATATATAAAGTGTAATCAAATCATTCAAAAGAGTGTAGAAATGGTTTTATAGTAAAAAAAAGTTTATTGAAGAAAATCTTTCAAACAAACTCTCAAAACACTGAAAGACATGCAAAAAACACACACAAAACGAGAAGGCATACAGTAATCAATAGGAAAATGTTTGCAAAACTTAACCACAATATCAATAAAACCGGCAAACAATTGAACAATTGTTATATAAAAAGCACTTTTTATTGATTGATGCAATTTTGCAAAAATCAAACAAAACTTTATTTTGAGAAAAAAAGATTTGCGTTTCGATGGCATACACACGGAGTGAGCGATAAAAATAGATATCAATAATAAATTGTATTAAATATAGTAAACTATTCAGGGGTTCAATTGAGTAGTAAATAAATCTGATTATTTCCACTCGATTTGCAAATAGCTGTTTGGATATTGAGATCGTTTTCATTATATTCATACAAATCAATAGCGGTTTGATGTGCGCCAGTGATTGAACCTATAGTTAGACTAAAAGCCAATGTATTGGTGATCGCATTGATAGCTAAGGCATCTGTTAAGACGTGTCAATCATTATCAGCGAATGGATAGGTCTGTCCGATAGGACTGGTTATGATATGATAGGCAACACACACAACACAATTACTTTAAGTTTGAAATTAACAAATAAGTTGCAAATCCATTGCATCCCTAAAAACCAGATACGGGTTCATATATGAGAGACAAATCGGTTTTGTCTTAAGACTCGTGGCAACACTTACGGCAAAATAATTGAACGCAAAAATAAAAACATTTCATTTCGTATATAATTGTTATAATTTTAATGTCTATAATAATATGTCATATTTGATGTACATTACAATATATTCATATACGAGTTCATTGGACTCTCACTTTGGATACAAAAATCCTTATCATTTTGTGAGCGTTTTTTATAATTTTGTTGTTTTTTCATTTTCTTATTAAACATCTTAAGCGTTAAAACAAATAGTAATTGCCAAACAATTTCATATAATTAATAATCGTTTTTTGATTTACATTTAATGAATTCAATTCATTTTACAAATTGTGTATATTTTATGTCAAATAAAAAGGGAGAAAAAAAGGAGAAAATAATGTTTTTTAAAAAAAATGAGAATAAGATTTCAAAATGTTTTTGTTCAGTAACTTAATATGAGGGGGAGATATATATACTGCGTGTCTAAACAAATGGTAATTTTAAAAATTACTTAATAATATAATTAATAATAAGTTCATAACTTCGTGCGATTAATCAAAAATATAATCGCATTTTCATTCAAAAAAACACAAATTCGTGTCTAATTTCAAACAAATTACTCGTTTTATTTGTCACTTTATTTTCGTCTATGGTTTGGCTTTGGTTTGTCTCGACTCCTGTCGGGTCTCTCGTGTCTATCGTTCCTCTCGTGTCGGATATACTGCGGCCGCTCCTGCTGTCTGTCCGCTCTGTCCGGCGGCCGGTCGTACCGCTGATGCCTGTCCTTCAGTTCGGGGCACTTATTCTGTTTGTGTCCAATTTTGCCGCAATTACGACAACCCCTTCCCGTGGGCGGCATTCCACGGGTCAGTAGGCGCCGGTCCGAGAAGTAGTCGGCCCAACACCGGTACCGGGCGTCCAGCCCTTTGACGGGAGGGCTGCCCCACAGATTTCTACCCAAAATGATCGACGTCTTGATATAGACCGCCATTTGCGGCGACACACCGGCGCCTAAGTTGTGCGACAATAGGAAGGGATCTAAACAAACAGCAAAAAACACACAATTAGTCCCCAAACCGACCGCCAGTTCCCCCATACGAGTGGCCATACCTTCTATCGCAATCTTACAGCCCGTCCACATCTTGTCGAGTCGTTTCAATGGCGCTAATTGTCGACAACAGACCACATAATTGTCGAAATCAAACACTTCTGTGTAATACCGGAGGAAACCGACAAACAGTTGCGCCACCGACTCGTGATTGGCTACGGGGGACCAGTAGCTGCGGAGCGCCTGGAGGTCGTCGAAGAACCACGTGTCCCAGCCGTCCACTATTCGCTCGGCGCGCCGCTCGACGCCCACCTCCTGGAGCACCGGTATGATGCGCTTCTGTTGCAAGTAATGAATCGTCATTAGGGTGTAGGCGTACGAGGAGAGGCTCCCGCGGGAGGCGTCGCCCATATCACAGGTCTTTTCGGGTGGCGTAACGAACAAAAGTCAGGCATTAATTCACGCGTTCATTGCACACAACAAATGGTTTTTTGGTTTTTTAAATACTTTAGCGAAGTGTTTGACAACGAAGCCGAGCACCTGTACCCGGGCGTCGATGAGCGTGTAGAGCCGTAGCCATAGCGTGTTATAGCGGGCCAGTATGTTGTAGAGACTGATGTCGCAGTCCACGTACCGGTTCCGGTCGAAATTGTAGCCAAACTTAACGATCGGCACTTTGGCCATCGGTATGGGTATGATATTCTGGAGCTTCCGGTGCGCTTTGAGCACTTCGCCCACGTTCTCGACAATCTTCGCGAACTCCAGTCCCTCGCCGGTGGTGTTGTCGTCGAACGTCATGCAGATGTCGAGATCGCAAAAGCGGGCGCCGAACCCGTTCTTCGTCGACCCGAACAGCTCGAGCCTGGCGTTCGGTATCTCCTCGCGTATGAATTCCTCCAAATCCTCGAGAATCGAGCACTGGATCTGCTCGTCATTCCTATCCATCTTTTTCCCGTCAAATATCTCGAAACAAATACCGGTCAACAGCTGGTCGTACGTCGGGTCCATCCGATCGGGCAGTGGCTTCAGTTGCGGCAACTCGTTGTCCGGGCAACGGGTCTGCAGGTGTCCGTACCGGTGACACAGGCGGCAGAACTTCTGCGGCATCTGAAAGAACGGTGTTTTGTTTATCGCAAAATTCACGGACAGTTGGTTCGCGGGTATCAACCGCAGCGTCCCCTCCAACTCGGGGCTCAACTGCATCCGTACGCCGAACGTCTTGAGTATGCGTTTGGCCCTCACGTAGAAGTTGTCCTTCCGGGCGCTCTCGTCATCCGAGTCCGACTCATCCGAGTTCTTATGGTTCTTACGGTCGGCCCCGTTGTCCAAGTCGTTGCAGATGTGATTGATTTGCGTCAACAGGTCATTGACGTCGAAGTGGTCGTAGAACTGGGTCTCGTTCACCAGTATATCGAAGTCCCGTTCCGTGTAGAGAGGACTGGACCTCACGTTTGTGTTGTAGTTGTTGGACATGACGTTCACGTATGGAGTGGCGAAGTATTTGAACGAATGCCTCAACTGCTCGATGAAGACGTTATACAAACGCATAGTACCCACAGATCGCGACAAATTCAGCGACGGACGGGTCGGGTCCTCGATGGCCAGCATATGCGTCGACCACTTCTTGTCGGCCTTCATATACACGGGTCGTGTGGTGCGGATGGACACCACGTATGTCTCGGCGTCGAACTCGGCCGCGTAGTAGCGAAGCATTTCTAGCCACAACTGACCCACGGTTTTGTCGTTCCTCGGGATCCAATTCAGTGACGAGAGGTTGAAGTCGTCCTCAACGGTGTCGTTGTCGTCGCCACCGAACGGCTGCCGCGACGACGACGACGACGGATGGCTTTGCGTGGAGTTTGGCGTCTGATTGGAGGGACTGGGCGTCGACTGACTGCCACTCATGAGCTCGTGAAGGCAGGGCAGCACCGGTGGCTGACAGCGCTGCAGGAAATGGATGACCAGTACGGGGAAGGCAAAGGCCGGCCACAGACCGTTCTCCTGGTCGTCGAAGCGATACATTCGGGCCCACTCTCGGAGGGCGACCCCCAACACCACTACCCTGTCGTCGATCTGACAGTACTGCTGCAGTAGTTTCGACGCCCGATAGCTCTTCTCGACGGTGATCGACAGCTCCACCTCTAAGCGATTGACGCGGTCTTTGAACCGCACTTTCGGTACTTTCAGATTGTAGTCATTGCGGACGTCGTAGAAGAGGCCGTCGCTCCTGTGGATAATGTCCGAGATCTTCGACAACACGATGGCCACGGAGTCGAGCGATCGGTCACTGGTGTCGGCTCCGGCGTTCGAGTGATGATCGCAAACGATATCCAAATTCATGTCCGAATAGTCTCTGAGGGCGAATCCACTGATGGTCGAGCCGTACAGTCGGACCGTATAGTCCGGGAGACCGTTGCGACGGATCAACGCGTTGATGGCGTCCACCACTTCCAGCCGGTTCTGGAAATCCATTTTATTCAAAGAGCTCTTCTGGCGATTGATTTCCAGCGCTTGCGATAACTTGTGGCCGAGGGATGGGCTCCCGATCGGGAGGGACAGGAGGAGCACGTACTCCATGAGCTGATTGTGGCTCGTCTTGTGTTTGTCTGAAGCGATGTGCCATTGGATGGACTTGTGGTCAGTGGTGACGGCGCAGAGGTAGCACTTGAGGTGACCAGTGGTGCGACACTCCGAGTGCGATATGGCGTGCATTTTGCAGAAGTCCACGAACTGGTCGTCGCATCGGCACGACATCGGCGGCCGTGTCTTGAGGCCCGGCGGTGGCCGAATAGGTCCAGGAGGTCCCGGTCCTAGCGGTGGTCGGGGAGGTCCCGGCGCCGTCGATGGCACACCCGGCAACCCATTGGGTGAGTGCCCGGAGTTGTAGAAGACTAGCGGTGTCTTCGGGTGTATCGACGGATTGAATGCCATCTTAGGATCCATTGGTTTGGCTGATGATAATTGGCATCAATTGAGTGGTGATGTGGTGGTGATGGCGATGAGAGACACCTCTGCCCTCCAGAAGTGGTGGTCAATGGGTGTGTGATCACAAGCGATGGACAGTTGTCAGCGTTGATGGCAATCGTGGGATCATTTGCGGTGAGAGTTGGGGTCAAAGTTGACTGCAATTGCAAAACAATAATAAAAATAAATTCACTTTAAATTCATTATTTTGCTGCCACTCAACGTGTGATCATTCATAAAATACAGTACATTTTTGGCCCCCTTTTGAAACTTTTACTTTAGTTTTACATTTAGTGATGACTAGAGGGAAGTAGTATTTGTAGTCAAACATAACGGTGTGTTTGGGGAGTGAGCGGTAGAGGTGTTGACGACGTGTGCAGCGATCGTGTGCTTGTGTACAGACCCGTTGGCATCCCTACAACACATGTGTCTGTGAAACGCAAACCCATTGACTGACCGCTAAATTGGACTTAAATTGTGAATGAGTTTTATGAATGAAATCTGCATTCAGTTTACGTTACGATAAACACGTGGTGTTTGTGTCCAGCGTTTAGTTGACGTAAACTTTTCACACATTTATGACTTGTTTTGGATTTTTGTTTGTATTTTGAATTTCAAAATTTGAAACTCAAATAAAAACACATTTAAAGCCACTGTTTGTCTCCTAAACGTTGGGATCAATTGCGGTGATAATGTCCGAAGAAGTGAAGTATGTATTGAATGGTGTGTTTGCCGGCGATTATCACTCATTATCTCTTATACTGACCACTCGTTTGACAGGTTATTACAGCCGTTTCAGTACATCAACCAATTTCTGGTAATTATCACTCGCAGTGAATCCATGTCTCGTATAATCACATGTTTTTCATCACTTCTGTAGAAGAATAATATCCGAAGCGATGGCCGAAAGTTTGATGACTTCCGACCCGTTCTTCTCAATTGTGGTATAAATTGATATCTTGTTTGTGATCTAGTCTTCAGATTACCATTAATTCAATGGACTCTTGAGTACAGATAGCGTGGGAACCGCTGACGGGTCGGCAATGATTAGGTTCGGCAACAGCGCCGTCATCGCCGGTATAACTGCCGTATGTCTAGTCTTAATGTATAGTCCATTGAATTATTAGTTCATAATTTGTTTGACATTTGATTTGAAGGCAGTTATTGAACCAAAAGTCGAGACACCTGATGAGGGATACGTTGAGATCAGTGTCCGACTGCCGGCCCTCTGTTCCGCCAAATACTGTATGACTGACTCGACTAATGATGCGCTGGTTTTGACGCAAACCCTAAAAGATGTCTTAAAACAGAGTAAACTCATTGATGTCAAGAAGTTATGCATTTTAGAGGCTAAGGTATGTGTAAATCACTGGATCTATTGGTGACACTAATAACAAATTCATTGATAGTTTGCCTGGAGTTTGAACATTGAGTTGATTTGTCTGAATAACGCCGGAAACCTCGTAGACCTCTGTGTGTCAGCCATTGTGGCGGCCCTTCAGTCATGTGAGACATTGTGTTGGATTTAGTTTGTGGTCGTATTGACACTGTTTTGTGTATTTTAAGGTACACTCAAGAAAGTGACGGTCAGTGAAGACAATAAGGCGATATCATACGATAAACATAAGGAACCGCTGGAAGTGATCTCATATCCCATTTCAACCACTTTTGCTGTCATTAATGGGTTTGTAATTGTCTTGAATTGGGGATCAATTTATGTTTTAATGAATGTTTTCTATATTTTCAGTATTTTATTATCTGATCCCACGATAGATGAGGAGAGTTTAGCCGATTCTGTGGTGAATATAGTGGTGAACGCCGACACCGATGTCATCCATCGCATCCATACGACCGGTTCGGCCAAACTTGACATCAATGCGTTCGAGAAGTGCTTCAAAATCGCTAAAAATCGGTCCAAAATCATGAAGAAATTAATTCTAGAGATTTGTCACTCAAACAAATAAAACAATAAATAATTTCATAATTTCTGCGATATTTTTATTTCTAAATAGCTTTTAGAGTTAATTTAGATTTTATTGTAATCTATGGTATGAGAAGCAGTTCATCGATGGTATGCAAGACTCCATTCCCTCCTTTCATGTCATATTCTTGGATTAGCGCTGAATTGACTGCAATTCCCTGTAAATTGAGTTTAAATAGAGTTTTGTATTTAATTTTGCTTTGAATTCAATACCTTTGGTGTGATTCTAGAGTTGATGCGCCGATTGGGCGCTAATGTGTTAATAGTCTTGTTATGGATAATGGATTCTGTGATGAATCTAATGGGGATTAAATGACTTCCGATAAATAGTCTGCAATTATCCACAATATTTGCCAATTGGTATGATTTGAGACTTTCAAACACCTTATTGTTTGCCGCAAACAAAGTGTACGATCGGTTGGACTCCTCTAATAGGAGGACCTCTTCGGGGCACTCGTCTAGTGTGCGCTTAAATGCACTTAATTTGTGTCTTTCGGTCACCAATTCATACAGACTTTTGACTGAATGACACAATTTATGATCAAAAATACAAAAATCAATTTAAAATCAAATGAATCCACACCTGAATCAGGTATAAAAAGCCCGTCGATGACATTAATGATAGCATTGGCGGCACTAATAGTCTCGCCAGTCATGAGAACACCATTGATGTAGGAGTGGTTACCACTGCAGGTCAGTGTCATGTCATAGCCATCAATGTTGTGAAGATAATGCTGTGAAGCCAATGCGTGCGGACATATGGTATGAGGTATGATATGATTTCCAAGAAGTGCTGCGAAAAGTGTATTAAGTTTAGGAATTTGAATAATTGTATGAAATGTAATGATTAAGTTTACATAGAATTACAGAATATTCTGCAGTGAATATGATTAACCCTTTTCGTGTAATTCTGTTGAGATATTCGGGTCTTAGTCGACGAAACGCCCTATCGTTTGGTGTGAAGAAGGTATGGCCAGAGTGTCCGTACGTTTGGCGAAACTCTTCAATAAATCAGTTTCGCTCATAAGTCGCGACAATTGCCTAAACCTGGTGTCCATTCCAAGTGTATCCGCCACTGACTTCAGTGGCCAACTCTTGGGCGGAATCAATACGCCATCGATTAAGTGAATGATACCATTGGTGGCCAACTGGTCCTTACGGGTGACGGCAATACAGTTGACGTAAAACACATTATTTGAATACTTATTGATTCGTATGGTTTGGCCCCCGAGTAGGGTCTGCAGGGGTTTGTCATTATGGGTGCCATTCGTATGCAAACGACCCGCTATTATATGATGCAAAAGCGTGGCTCCGATGAAGGCCTCGAATATTCTTCGAGGAATTCCTCTCAGATTCTGTGCGAAAAAGTTTTGTAATTTTATTTCAAGTGTTACAGAATTTGCATTATTTTATTTTTATGGGGACTTTAGGTTTTTTATTTAGTCTAAAATTATGCACAAAATTTTGTTTTTATTTTTCATTTAGCATTTGATTTAAAGTTGAATTCTTTGGCAAAACAGCTAGAATTGAGATATTTTCGTTAAATGCCAGCTAAATAATTATTACAAATATTACAATTTTATGATAATTACATGTGCAGTATGAATTTATTTTAGACTGATAGCCATACTAAATTATTAATCTGATATTTACTTAATGCTAACTACATTTATGCGATTGGTATTACATTTTATATAAAGTTAATGTCACTCACACTCTGAGGTATAAATAAATAGAAGTTTTAAATAAACACTTATGTATTCAGCGGAGGAACTCATATGTAAAGGCTATACAACAAAATCGATGACAAACTCCATAGGAATACCCGAAAGGCTTCATTAGTCGGTATGAATAGAGTGAGCGGTGAATGGGTTTCAATCAAATCAGCGCCTATTTGTGAATCTAATGAGTATTTTATGAAATCAGTCGCTCCTAAATCCCGGGCCCTTTCCAATAGATTTCTCGACGGCTTCACTGCGAAAACACAATCAATACATAGGATTCTGTCAAATGAATAAAATATACGAAACTTTTTCTTTTCTATACTAACCTCCCGGACATCCAAATTGAGTGCTATGTCTGGTGTAGCCGTCGCAGCACACGTATCGCAACACACTATTGATTTTTCATTGAATTGATTACTGATAATGATATGACTTTTGTTTTGGCAAACTTTATATGTGTTAATAAACTGACGGCTGATATCCGCACACGTCTCGTCTCAACCAGTATTGACATTGTGTCCAAAGTCTTCGCCGCAGTTCCTGAACCTCTTCCACCGCACAAGTGTTGGGCCTTTAAGGGGGAAGTCATTTAGGATTAGATAAAAACAGTTAAAACAGAGGTACTCCTGAATTATTATTATAATAAACCCTTGTCTTTGAGCCACTTTTATATGCCATTCGGGAAGTCGTTCACAATTAATACAAACATTTATACAAATAATAGCAATCAGTGCTAAAAGCAATTCATTCATTATGTACTGTATAGACAACACACTATTACTGGTGTTTAGTGTGTTAATTGAGATGAAGTGTTTTGAATCATTTTTAGCTCACATTTAACACTAAACTGTGTTTAGCTTATGTTTTTACGCTATTAATCCAGACCTTTAAAAGATTACTATTTATAATTGTGTAAAATTGCAGTAATTTTTATTATTTTCTTATATTTTAAGTTATTTTNATTATTTTCTTATATTTTAAGTTATTTTCTTATATTTTAAGTTATTTTATTTTTTTAAATTTTTTAGGAAACTTAAATTTACTTTCCATTGAGACACAAAATATATTAGCAATGCAATGATTATAACTCATGGTTTAGTAAAATAAAATGTGAATTTTACTATATTGATACTAATCACATAACCACAATGGTTATAATCACATAACCTACAGGTATGAACAAATCTCATGGTAACGAAATGATTATTCTATAAATTCTATATTTTAAATCAGAAACAGTCCTAAAATATATTAAATTAAAGCTAAGAATACAATAAATATTTTAGTGCAAACACATTTTGATTATCTTTTAAAATGTAAATATTAATTATATAATGATAATGCTTTTTAAAAATGAAACATAATTTATATCTACTTAAAAATTAAATGATATGATTATTTGAACTTAAAATAAATATACAGTACTTTTGAAAATCTTGCTAACATGTGTTGAACACTTTACTAATATGACATAACTATCTAATTGATTGAATTTATACACAAAATTCTATGGAAATTACATTTTGTATTTAACAAACTTTTTATACTAAAAATTCTGTATTGACTATAAAAAATTGATTATAAAATGTTTGTTTGTTATGATTTTGGGTTCAAATAAAGATAACAATTTATTTTTAGGTGTTTAAATTTTATGAGAAATATAATCTTTTTTCTAAATATTGTTTATCGAGCTATGATTTATAGCAATCAATTACAAACCTCCTAATAAAATAATAACCAAAACAGTTGTGTAATTAACAAATTTAATTTGAATTAAATGCATGTAACATTAAATACAGAATTTTTAGTATAAAAAGTTTGTTAAATACAAAATGTAATTTCCATAGAATTTTGTGTTTAAATTCAATCAATTAGATAGTTATGTCATATTAGTAAAGTGTTCAGCACAAGTTAGCAAGACTTTAAAAAGAAAGTACTGTATATTTATTTTAAGTTCAAATAAACATATCATTTAATTTTTAAGTAGATATAAATTATTTTCATTTTTAAAAAGCATTATCATTAATTACTATTAAGATTATGTGATAATATATTAGTATCAATAATGTTACATGCATTTAATTCAAATTAAATTTGTTAATTACACAATTGGTTATTATTTTATTAGGAGGCTTGTAATTGATTGCTATAAATCATAGCCCGATAAACAATATTTAGACAAAGATAATATTTCTTATAAATTTTAAACACTTAAAAATAAATTGTTATCTTTATTTGAACCCAAAATCATAACAAACAAACATTTTATAATCAATTTGATAGACTATTACTTAACATTAGTATCTAATCAATTAAATTAAAACATGAGATATTCTCATAAGTTTACAAAATACTTAATGTACTTAATGAATTAAATGAACGTAGCGCAATTAACTTATTTACTTAATGTACATTGATTTTGTACACGATTATGTTTATTATACAACTGTATTGGTTATCAAAGGTTTAAAACTAGTATAAATATTTAATTTTGCTGTTATTCTTAGCATATCTTTATAACCAAAAAGTTTATTAATACTGTAAGAGTTACTCGAAAATGGACGACAAAATATTAAAATCACCCCTTCCTCCCATACCTTACCCCGAGATATCGGTCGCAAAGTATATTCTCGACCGTCTCAAGCAGTTTAGTGGACAAAAAACTGTTCTGGTTGGTTTTATAAATACATTTTTGCTAAATATTTAATAGCAAGCTAAGTTTTATCCATAGCTTGACTGCCCATCGGGCCGTAAACACAGTGCCCAACAGGTCTACGATCACATCCTCAACATCGCCGCCGCTTTCGTGGACTTAGGCCTTAATAAAGGAGATGTCGTGCTATTCATATCACCCAATAGTGACTATTATGCCATCGGTTTGCTGGCAGTTATGGCAGCCGGAGGTGTCTTCAGCGCGTGCAGTGAATTGAGTTCTTATCGTAAGCTCTGATATAATAACCAAAAAAATTGCTGAATAAATGAGGTATTAATATCAGGGTATGTTTTCAGGCGAAGTCTACAATGCCATTGAGGACACGACCGCTAAGTATGTGGTCTGTACTCCGGATAACTTGGAGGACATCAAGAATATCGCAGAATGTTTGCCACAGATTAGAGTGAGTTTTATAAGTTATTAAAGTATCAGTGTAAATTAATTTATTGTTTATATTAATTACACGTTTTATAGAAAATCATATTAATGTCAAACGAGTGGACATCACAGACAGACCCAAAGGTTGTGAATTACTTCCAGTTATATGATTACGAGGCCTCCGAATGTAGCTATGATTTGCCCAAACGGGTCGACTGTCACCAAGACATGGCAGCCCTACTGCTATCATCCGGGTCTACGGGTCGACCCAAACCCATAATCCGTTTGCATAGGAATGTCATTAACCTGACCCACCAGTTCCAGCACCAGGAGATTTGGGGGTTGACTGAGAGAAGTGTACACTCCTGTCAAAACACATTCTGTCATTCCGGTGGACTCACATTCCTATTGCATTGTATGCCATGAATAGAAATTATTTTATATGCAAGGTGATTATTAATTGTGTGTGTGTGCTTGCTAATTCACAGCAATAGCGTCGGGTGCCATCGCTGCCATTATGCCGGCCTTCGAGGGCAACAAATTCATTAATTATGTGGAAAAATATAAGGTGTTTATAAGCAGGGCACTAAATGTTTGTTTGTTGTAAACATGTTTGCAATAAGAAATGTGTTTCCGATTAGATTACGAGTGCTTTTCTGGTGCCCTCTTATGTCATATTCTTAGCCAATGTCGACGTTTCCAACAGAGATGTGTCCAGTTTTGAGGACATCATATGCGCCGGCAGTCCACTGCCTGAAGGGATCGCCGACAAAGTGTTTGCGAATATGGGACTCAAGTACTTTCGTCAGGGTATTCATTGGATTCATTGATGTTTTTCTATGAAATTCTTACAAATTCTGTAAAATTCTTCAAAATTCTTAAATATATTCCCTTATATAACAGGTTATGGTATGACTGAAGTGGGATTCTGTGAGTTATTCAACGCTTTTATTAATATATTTTGACATTTTTATGTCATATACCGTATTCATCCCTTTCCTCTCACCAAAAGGCACTCAAGTATTCCGGAGCAAGAATTTAGAGCACAAGGCGTCGGTGGGCTGGTGTGTGCCCGACTCCCAGGTCAAGGTTGTCGACCCAAACACCAGTGAACTACTGGGCCCTAATCAAGTGGGCGAGGTATGGATCAAAAGCCATCAGATGACACCCGGGTATCTGAACCTCCCCGACAAGAATGCCGAGTCGTTCGACGGCCAGGGATTCATACGGTCGGGCGATGCCGGCTATTATGACTCCCAGCGCCTGCTGTACATTATGGACAGGTATAAGCAGATCCTAAAGGTCGAGGGTATTATAGTGTTGCCCTCGGAGTTGGAGTACCTGTTGCTCAGCCACGAGGACGTGTCGGAGGCGGCGGTGATTGGCGTCAAACACAGCTATTATGTTGAGGTCCCGAAGGCCTTCGTTGTACTCAAGCCTCAGAGGAAAGTGAGTGAAGAGAAACTCATTCAATACATCGACGGACTCGTCAACGATGTCAAGAAACTCAGAGGAGGTCTCACGATATTGCAAGAGTTGCCGAAGACTCCCCTGGGCAAGATTAATAAGACTTTACTTCAATGATGTGCTTATTTTTTATATATATTTATTTGCTTGTTTATATATAATATACACACTTAATATAAACTAAAAAATAAATATATATTTAAGACTTTTACTGCTAATTTGATGTATTTTATGAATTTGTATGTCATTTGATGTGACAATGAATACCAATTGAAAGCACGCGATATTGTAATAAAATACTTACAATTTATAATTTATAACTTATAAATCAAATTTTAAATATCCCAAAAAATACCGATTGAAATAAACTTGTATTTTACATACATTTATTGGTTCTCTCACTAGAAATATGGATTATTTCAGAAACATTGTATGGATTTTGTTGATCAATACCGCGATGAATGGTATGGGAAGTGATGGTCAAGATATGCCAGAATTCTGTAATACAACGCCTATAAATTAGACTATTTTGTACAATTTTAATAAGTGCTGAATTAATTAGCATTAAACATAAAAAAGTAAGACTATTATTATAAATTGTTTGTATTATAAAAACAATGTAACATTTGGGTGTCTCGTTTGCAATAATGATCACTAAATTGATAATACATTCAATTGAAATGATACTGAATTTATAACAGTTTAACAAAAACTATTTGAAATAACCTTTGATTGTATAAACTTCTTACACTTTAAACATGAATTATCTCAAAAACATGGCATTCATTGTACTCATCCATACCGTACTGAATGGTATGGGAAGTGACGGTCAAAATACACCGCAATTCTGCAAAACAACTCATTTTGACGCCATATTCACCGATGGCTTGCATCTGCGGATCAAATCCAAGAACGGGTCCACCAGTTATATGTGGACTTTCAACACACATGACGGCAAATTCAATGAACCGCCAGAAATGGTGGCAACAGGTATACCAAACACCTTAAGATCACCAAAAACTGAATCAATTACTCATTGAAAACCACATTTTCAATGCCTATCCACAGGCCATCAAATAGCGACGGCTTTCCAAGTGACGAAAGACCCGGCGTGTAATGAGGGGACGGGCTGTCAGATACCGGCCATTGATCTGGTGTTCACCCGGTTTCAGGAGCTGCCGGTCGGCCGAGAGTACACAATCGTGTCGATGATATCACCGGTGGACGGCTCCCAGCGTGTGATCAATTCAAATGAGTACCCCTGGGGTCTGACGGACCGCACGGCCAACCAGATATGGCCGCAGGAATGGGACGATAGCCTACATCGACTGAAACCTCGCGCCAGTGTCTACAGGGAACGGGAGTACGAAGTGATGTATATTGTGGGCGAAAACACGCAGTCAGTCATCAGGTGGAGAGATATTAAGCGCGAGGACTGGTATCGGAATATGGTTTCCCAGCACTTGGAGACAGACGTGACATTTGTGGGTCTGTTTGTCGACCGACACAACCATAGACATGGCAATGATCTCATCTTTCATGAGAGGATCTTCGGCATTGGGGACAGACGTCATGTGGGAGACTATGAGACAAAACTGTATTTATTAGACATAACGCCACAAAAGAGACAATTTATAGCATATACTGTACTCATGAGTAAACCCATAATGAATTTAATATGAATTTAAAGTTTGATTTGTTTTTGAAAAATAGACTGATTTTAAGAAATATTTCAATTGTGACTCGACTTCGCCTACTGTTCCCACCAGTCATACAGCCGGTGAAGATGTATCTAAAGACACGAAGACATCATTTACTACTCAAAAGACAGTGGAAAGTAATGTTTGGAGCGAAGGCAACATGTTTCTGGTGATCGTAGTGGTGACGGTAGCCGTCATAGTGATCCTGATACTAATTATAGGATTTTTTTATGTTAAAGTCCAAAGTGTGTTCACAAATATAACTAATTTTAGACAATTATTATTTAAATATTGAAATTATATTTTTAAGGAAATACGAGAAACAAAACGCCGGTTCCGTCGCATAACTCATCCAATGATAGGTCTGTACTGAGTCTAAGCCCAACCGTTCAGACCATAGATTCAGATACGGGTCGCTTAACATAATCATTGATTTTATATATAATGTGATAAATTTAGCAATAAATAGAAATTCTTGTTTTATTTAAATAGTGTACATTTGCTAAATTGATGTCCAGTACAAACTAGTGAGAAATATATTAAAATAAAAAACATAAAATTATTTACGTCCGTATTAATGATTACATTAACATTGATTGCTTGAAATAAATTTATAAATAAGGTTTGTTTTTGTGAACAGCAATTAAATTTGTTTAATTTTTATTTATTATAGTTATAAAGTTTATACAAAATTCAAAATATTAAATATGTTTATAACTATACTATAAAAGAATTTAATTTAAAATTTGTTTCAAATAAAGACTCATTTCTTTGTTTTTGTGGTTTGTTTGCGAATCTTCTTTGGTTTTAGTTCTTTAGTCTTAAGCGTCAGATCTGTTGGTCTGAACTCAGTCTCTGATATCGATATCTTTGAACCCAATGTCTGATCCAAAGTATTCCCGGATTCGGAGGTTTCCTTTGAATCGGTGTCTGTTTGAGACATTGTTTTATATCTTCTGTTGTGGACAGGAACGGCTGTCATTGGAGTCGAACTACCGGTTGTTGAAGAAGTGCTTTGCTTTCCTCGACGTCTTTTGAAAATCACGAATACATTTGTTGTGCAGATAATGACTCCTATTATCAACAAAACCACGAAAGCAATGACCAGTTCTTGTAATTCCTCAGCTGTTAGAGGATTGGTAGGAGAGATGCCGTCAATGGATGTAGTGATCGGATCAATAGGTTTGTCTGTATTTTCAATTTGTTTGAAGCAATCCTTTTCATACGGAACCATAGTTTCGGAGGAATTGCACTAAAAATATTTGATATGTTTTTATATACTTTTCAATGTAATTATCATTAATTACTTGATGCGAAAGCTCTTTGCCCTCAGGTGTGAAGCAATACATCGGTTGTCCTCTGATATTAAACCATAACATATGCCCCGACTGTCCGCTCACATCGTAGTCAACGATGCCCTCTAACTGTGGGAGCAATGGTTCAGGTATTTGATTGATGAACACTGGTCTCAGTGGACATTCTGATGGACAGGTACTTTCGTTGTGAACATGAGCCCAAGCAACTGGATCGGCCGCGAACGTCAATTCGTCTTTCCATTCAGATGTCATTTAGGTATTTGATTGATGAACACTGGTCTCAGTGGACATTCTGATGGACAGGTACTTTCGTTGTGAACATGAGCCCAAGCAACTGGATCGGCCGCGAACGTCAATTCGTCTTTCCATTCAGATGTCATTCTCAATACATGAATGGATCGGTCTTTAGTGTCCAAAACCATGACATAACTGTGAGTCCTCTTTGGATCGCTTTTGCGGACAACTGTCGGACTAAATATAACTCCCTTTCCATTGTATTGGCCGTTGGCTTCAAACTTGGGTCCGTAATTGACCGCACATTTTGTAGTGATTGAAGTGTTTCGTGAATCCTATGATAAGATGAATGCAATGAATGTCAGAATATACTGTATATGAATACAAGTATTGCCACACAATATGCTTACCGTATATAACACTTGACACTTATAACTCCTGAGTAAATTGGTATATCTAGCGAAAATGCCTGAGTATTCATTCATTGGTTGTTCACCAGTTATGGTATCCTGTGATCTAACAGACAACTCATCCATGGATACCATGAGTTGACCATCACTTTGCTTGCTTTCTATAGTGAACTCCCATTGCTTTCCCTTTGAATACATCATATGAACAGGGTCGCGTACTTTGTAGTAGTTAGCCCAAAGTAGGGTAGTATGTTTCGTAGTCCACTTTCGCTGCATTTGAATGCCATTATATGTGCCATTGGTTTGCATGTATGGGCACATTGATTGGCATTCAATGTAAGGAATGCATAAAATTATGGCTAAAATTGTCAGCATTTCTGCGTAAATAACTCTTAAACGACTGAAATTATGTATAAAACAAAAGTTATTTAACAAAAGACCTTTACTTTGACTACAAATGAATGGTTAACTTTTGAATACTTTTCAAAACATTTCTAAAAAGTTCGTTAAATAAATACAATTGAGATCTGAATTCAAAACACAGATAATTGAATGTTTTATGTATCACTCGATCGCAACAATTGCATATTAAATGTATAAACATTAAAAGCATATATCGTAATGCTTGTAACTACTGTATTAATTATTGCCCAAAAAATTATAATTAAAGACACTGGATTACTATAATAACTAAAAGTTTACTGTAAAATGAATTTAGAAAAATCTAATAATAATATCAAATTAACAAATTACTAATTTTATCATTGATTCATTAAGTCGTTATATACAATAATGATATATCTAATTATATCATTCATTAATTAATTAATCGTTGTATCTAATTATGATATCGATAATAACCAAAAAGCCCTATGTTTTTCCAAACTGTCTTTACATAACGTAAACACATTGAGTACCGTATATGAAAAGGTGCCAAACAGTCATAAAACTGTTAGAATTGTTAAATTCATAACTTTATTTCTAATTATTAATACAGTATTAATAGTTAAGTATAAATTAGACCGTTTTATACAATTGAATGAATGGATGAATTAGTTAACAATAAAATGTCAAAACATTTGACTGATTGCCGCGAATCAACAGAAACGGTGGCATATCTTTGGTCAGTGTCTCAATCCATGCCATGTATAGCGTGGCCGACACCACTTGCTTACGAGGAATGGGTAATGTCCTGTTCCCGGAGGCAATGGATACATGAGAAATGCAAACTTATCGTAAATATCACGGACTTACATGACCACGAGAGTGGAGTTCCTCGAGTGTTGCTCTATATGCTCCCGGAGCCGTAAATACCTGTTTGTCTGTATTTAACATAAAAGTGATAATAAGTTTAAATATCTTGGAAACAATTAACAATTACTTTGTCTTTGAAATGAATCAATTCATTCTGCAATGACTCCACTGTCTGCTCATCGTTTATGGCGGACATGGATTTGGACATCAGTTTTATGAACTCATTTTCACTGTCAACCAAAATGAGATAATAATTCAGATTTAATTCAAACAAACAATTCATTGAAAATCATACGTCTCTTCGGACGGCATTTGATCGGAATCCGAGAGCACCCGCACCGCCGAGTAAGGGATCCGAAACTTATTCAACAAAAGTTTCAGACTATAAAAAACAAGTTGTAATCAGTCTTAAGAGTGTATCCATACATCCATGAGCTAACAGTATGCATACCTGTCCTGTTCGGTACTGATTTCCAGCTTGTTTTTCGTGACGGAAAACACCCGGAGCTTAGACCCGGCCCACAATGGGCTGTTTCTCAGTATGAATGGTATGAGCAGGGTGAGTCCGCCATCGTCGTATATCCACCACACGTCGATCGTGCCCTTCGTTTGCTTTGTCTTGAACCGATTGGCCAACTCATCCATTTTGGGCTCAAAGTTAGCCAAATCGGTGAAGTCGTTGATCGACTGCTGACTGTCCACTGTCTTGGACACGGAATATATGTTACTATTTTCTGTCGGAAAATATGTGTTTAATTAAAAACTTTTTTGTCAATTGATTTGTATTTTAGTACTTCTTATATGCGAATTGTGTTGACTTTCTAAATAGGCAGAGAAGTCGTGGCCCTCTTTCAGCCGGAATATTATAATCGAGAAGTTGTTGTCTAATACTGAACTGCAAATTACGAGCAATTGTTTTATACACTGATAACAGAATTTATTATAATTTTATAATGCATTTAGAAATTACTGAATAATTTGATAGTAATCCGAGAGAGTGGATGAGTCGCACGATTGCCAATTGCTTTTATAGCCCAACATCACTATATTAGGCGTGAATTTTCCTATTCCCGAGGCCTTTATGCAAAACATTAGTTTAATAGTATAATAGTTAGTATAATATTTAAATGAAATATAAGAATATTCTTGAAAATTCTTATAATGCACGCAAACCTGCATAAAGCTTTTGGCGCCGACGCTCACAGAATCGGATTCAATGAGTTTGTAAAATGCGTTAATATTCTCATTCCTAAGCCATTGCTTCTGTTTGTGGATTATCTCATCCTTGGTTCTGAAGGGAATGGGTCCCTGAGCTATATGTGCTAAGAATAGTAAACCGTATCTCTTGGTCATATGGTTAGCCATATCGACCAGTGTCGTACGGTTGGTGGGGTTACCACTTAACAGCAAAATCATAGGCCTGTAGTGTTTGACGTGCTCGTCCTGAACGTTCAGCCGGAAGGTTAGATACCGGGCTATGTTGAAGAACTGCTCCTCAGTAGACGGCCCCCAATTGGCCTTCACTAGTGGTCAGGCATTAGATTTTAATACACTATAAAAATCGCATAATATTTGTCAGGAATTCATACCTGGATTCACGAACAGCATCGATATGTATATGAAAACAGTGAGCGCACAGACAGTGGCCGCGGAGGTCGTGTCAAAGAGGAACATGAGGACAATGCACGTGACGCCCACCAACAGACTGACCCACTTGTTGTAGTACTTAAAGCTGGGCCTAAAGCTCAGGGAACTGACCCACGAGACGTAAAACAGCGAGAAGTTGACCATAAAAAAGGCGCCCAAATAAAAGTTGGAGATCCAGTAGCCGGCAGTGTTGACGTCATCGATGGCTATGAACACGGCGGCGATGATGAATGTGATCACATATCCATGTCTGGGATCCGTTTTCGACGGACCGTACCCTCTGCCGAACCACGAGATGAATGGTATGAGATTGTCGTCGGCGAAGGCCTACAACCATAAGAATTGATTGTAAAACCATACAATCCATTAGTAAATAGTAGCCATACCTTGAATATTCTGGGAGCCGCTGTATAACATCCCAGTCCCGATGATAGGGTGGCGGCAAAAATGCCCGCATATATGAGTGGATCCACTTTGAGGCTCGTGTGCGACAGACCGCCCGTCATAGCCATTGTCTGGTAGTCATTGATGAGGCCGTACGGACAGCTGCCATAACACGTCCGGTTGTTGTCCAGCGTGTCGTTTATGTTACCCGAGGAATAGGCGACGATTGTGGAGCCCGTGAACAGTATGATCACCGCATACGTGAGGGAAGTGGTGCCGATGGCCAGGAACGTGCCCTTCGGTATGGCAGTGGCCGGGTCTTGGAGGTCGGCCGACATACTGGCGCCCGTGAATATGCCGGTGACGGACGGGAAGAATACGCCGAACACGCCGAAGAAGCTGAAGCCATCCCAACGCGGGTACAGATTGTTGGATATGACGTACGGCTTAAAGCCGGCCAACCCTTTGGCCAGTTGTTGGTCGGTTGGGCTCATTATCGCTCCGACGAAGTAATCGATGAG